TTCAGTTAGGCATTACAATTATTTTCCTTAAGCATTTAATGCTAGGGTACTTTTAAAGGGCTTTAGATTTCTCTGCATACAACCTTTTCACACAAACATATGTCAACCTTAAATATCTGATACCTTTTGAATAAATTAAACAGCACCTACTGATAGATAGTTCAACTATTCAAATGTAGCAATTGTGTTGGTGAATCTTATTATCCTTGTATATAGTGTACAATATATATTGTCTACAACAAAGCTTGTCAATAGATATATTGAAAATCAATAGTTTCAGTTAGACATTACAATGTATTTTCCTTAAACTAATGCTGGGCTACTTTTAGAGGGCTTTAGATCTCTTTGCATACATTTTCACACAAACATATGTCAACCTTAAATATCTGATACCTTTTGAATAAATTAAACAGCACCTACTGATAGATAGTTCAACTATCCAAATAGAGCAATTCTGTTGGTATATCTTATTATACTTGTATATAGCGTAGAATATATATTGTGTACAACAAAGCTTGTCAATAGATATATTGCAAATGAATAGTTTCGGTTAGACATTACAATGTATTTTCCTTAAACTAATGCTGGGCTACTTTTAGAGGGCTTTAGATCTCTTTGCATACAAGCTTTTCACACAAACATATGTGAACCTTAAATATCTGATACCTTTTAAATAGATTAAACAGCACCTACTGATAGATAGTTCAACTATCCAAATGTAGCAATTCTGTTGGTACACCTTATTATCCCTGTATATAGTGTACAATATATATTTTGTAGAACAAAGCTTGTTAATAGATATATTGCAAATCAATAGTTTCAGTTAGACATTACAATATATTTTCCTTAAACTAATGCTGGGCTACTTTTAGAGGGCTTTAGATCTCTGTGCATAGAACCTTTTCACACAAACATATGTCAACCTTAAATATCTGATACCTTTTGAATAAATTAAACAGCACCTACTGATAGATAGTTCAACTATGCAAATATAGCAATTCAGTTGGTATATCTTATTATCCTTGTATATAGTGTACAATATATATTTTGTACAACAAAGCTTGTCAATAGATATATTGAAAATCAATAGTTTCAGTTAGGCATTACAATTATTTTCCTTAAGCATTTAATGCTAGGGTACTTTTTAAGGGCTTTAGATCTCTTTACATACAACCTTTTCCCACAAACATATGTCAACCTTAAATATCTGATACCTTTTGAATAAATTAAACAGCACCTACTGATAGATAGTTCAATTATCCAAATATAGCAATTCTGTTGGTATATCTTATTATACTTGTATATAGCGTAGAATATATATTGTGTACAACAAAGCTTGTCAATAGATATATTGCAAATCAATAGTTTCAGTTACACATTACAATTATTTTCCTTAAGCATTTAATGCTGGGGTACTTTTAAAGGGCTTTAGATCTCTTTGCATACAACCTTTTCACACAAACATAGGTGAACCTTTAAATATCTGATACCTTTTGAATAGATTAAACAGCACCTACTGATAGATAGTTCAACTATCCAAATAGAGCAATTCTGTTGGTATATCTTATTATCCTTGTATATAATGTACAATATATATTGTCTACAACAAAGCTTGTCAATAGATATATTGAAAATCAATAGTTTCAGTTAGACATTACAATGTATTTTTCTTAAACTAATGCTGGGCTACTTTTAGAGGGCTTTAGATCTCTTTGGATACAACCTTTTCACACAAACATATGTAACCTTAAATATCTGATACCTTTTGAATAAATTAAACAACACCTACTGATAGATAGTTCAACTATCCAAATTTAGCAATTCTGTCGCTATATCTTATTATCTACAAAGCTTGTCCATAGATATATTGAAAATCAATAGTTTCGGTTAGACATTACAATGTATTTTCCTTAAACTAATGCTGGGCTACTTTTAGAGGGCTTTAGATCTCTTTGCATACAACCTTTTCACACAAACATATGTGAACCTTAAATATCTGATACCTTTTGAATAGATTAAACATCACCTACTGATAGATAGTTCAACTATCCAAATAGAGCAATTCTGTTGGTATATCTTATTATCCTTGTATATAATGTACAATATATATTGTCTACAACAAAGCTTGTCAATAGATATATTGAAAATCAATAGTTTCAGTTAGACATTACAATGTATTTTTCTTAAACTAATGCTGGGCTACTTTTTGAGGGCTTTAGATCTCTTTGGATACAACCTTTTCACACAAACATATGTAACCTTAAATATCTGTTACCTTTTGAATAAATTAAACAGCACCTACTGATAGATAGTTCAACTATCCAAATGTAGCAATTCTGTTGCTATATCTTATTATCTACAAAGCTTGTCAATAGATATATTGAAAATCAATAGTTTCGGTTAGACATTACAATGTATTTTCCTTAAACTAATGCTGGGCTACTTTTAGAGGGCTTTAGATCTCTTTGCATAGAACCTTTTCACACAAACATATGTGAACCTTAAATATCTGATACCTTTTGAATAAATTAAACAGCACCTACTGATAGATAGTTCAACTATCCAAATGTAGCAATTCCGTTGGTATATCTTATTATCCTTGTATATAGTGTACAATATATATTGTCTGTTAATGCCACAGATCATTAATTATGGTAATTACAACCACAGTATATAAGGTGTGATGATACGAATATTTAACGTTTTTTAAGTTTGATATGTTATACCGGACAGTGTCTAAAACTAGAACTAAATATCTATGGCATACGGCATCGATGTAAGGCAATAAGGGACACAACGTAAGTTAATTCGTGATTTGTTGTAAGTTAATTCGTAGTGTATTAAGTTTATATCCGGTATTGTACATAGTTTTATATATTGTTTATTTAGTTTTTGAACCGTAAGCAACGAAGCTTATCAAATATCAGACAACACCGTTTGATGTAACTTTGTAGTATGCACGTATCGAATTTGGGTCTCTTTGTCCCTTTCATCCTGTAACAGCGAGAACAGATTATGGACTTTAGCGGTTACATTTGTTCAAAAAGTTTTTCTCAGTTTATAATATGGATAACCGGATAAATGAAAGAACTGAATTAGACTTTGTTCCGGTTCAATCAAGCGAGACGGTTAACGGAACCACCCATGAAACCAACAGCGACACACGTTTCAGAGGTCTTAGGGAGAAAGGACGAGAGTATAGCTGCAACCGTCTAAAAAGGAAGCAAACTTCGAGCTTGGCAGCAGTCACTGAAAACGTACAGAAATAACACGGTTTCTGGAAAATGAAATTGATCTGCATTTGGTCAAGACTGCTTTAGAGGACATTAATACTCTATTCGCGGATTATCCAGAAATCCATAATAAGTACTTAAGTGCGATATCGTCGGAAGAGATTCAAGAAACCGAAACGCAACGATATGAAACGAGAGAAAAGTCGTTTCTGGAATTTCGCCGGCAAGTAAATCAATGGATTTTAGATGCAGAGCAAAGACTATCGGATGAACTTAATAAAAGCGTTGATAAAGCCAGTTCTAAACCTTCGAAGTCGACAAAAGAATCGCATGAAAGCTCAAAGCGTTCAATAACGTCATCAATTGTTTCAACGATATCATCCCGTACCAAAGAAAGAGTGAAATGGCCGAATTGGAAGCTGAGAAGTCCTTATTAAAGCGAAAACAAGCTTTGAAAGCCGCAACAGAAGATCTGATGTTAGAGACGGAGATTGCTAAAGCCCAAGCAAGGGAAAGGGTTTACGGAGAAATAATCGAAAGCGAAGGCTTGGCAGCTTCGAAAGTTAAAAGTGAACCAGATCATGCCACCGAAGGAAGATCGAAGATAGCATATGTGCACGAATTGAAGCGACGGTCATCAATCAGTCCTATTCCAGCGCCACGGTCTCCCATTACTCCTATTATTACGAGTAAAGCAAAGGTTAGGCTTCCTACACCCGATTTATCGGTTTCATCATTGTCTAGCTGGTCAAATACATCACCATCATCACCACAAGTTTAATTCATCGCAACCATCAAACGCATTTCCTGATACAATACCAAGTAACGTCGTTGGCCGTAAATCAGATAGAACATTCGTACACAACGACGCAGGAAGACGTGAAGGTCCTTATAAAGAAAACCTTGAACAGCATTCTCTAAAACAGTTGCTGACGCTACAGAGACAACAAACTGAGCATATGATGAGGGCAAACGTTCAACTTGCAGCTGCGATCACATTACCGAAACCCGAAGTTCCTAAGTTTGATGGTGATCCAATGAACTACAAGTCGTTCATCAAAGCTTTCCATACTCGTATTGAATCCAAAACTGGAAGTAATGCAGATCGCCTGTACTATTTAAATCAACATCTCGTTGGAGAACCAAAGGAATTGATTGGGGGTTGTATATACTTCGAGCCTGAGGAAGGATATGCAGAAGCACGAAAACTCCTTGAAAATGAATACGGAGATCCTTATAAAGTGCCTACAGCATATGTGAACAAGGTTCTCAACTGGCCAGCCATCAGATATGACGACCCAGTGGGGCTGAAGTACTTAGCTATGTTTCTGAAGAAGATTAAAAATGCTATGAACGGAATCTCTGATATGGCTGTTTTAAATCATCCTACTAACATGCAAACGGTCGTGAAGAAATTGCCGCAGAATCTTCAAGCGAAATGGAGAGATCGCGTGATGAAGTTAAGGAGACAGAACCGAAAAGTTCCAGAGTAGTGATACCCCCACTCTGGCTACGGAAGTAATTAGTATGCAAAGGCCTGCTGAAAGTAATTAGTATGCAAAGGCCTGCTGAAAGTAATTATGTATTCATGATGTGCCTTGCTCCTTTAAGACCTTAACCCTAATTAATTATTCAACCCGATTCGCATCCGACAATCACCCGAAGATTATGTCACTGATTAAGTATTCATAACAACTTTGAGTTAATTTATTCCAGTCGCAAACAACTAGACGTTTTTTAGATATTTATCACTTTAAAATACAAAATGCTAGGATGGCCGAGTTGGTAAAGGCGTTAGACTCAAGATCTAATGTGCGTTGCACTTCGTGGGTTCGATTCCTACTCCTAGCACTATGCTTTTTGTATGTTTGCAGTCATTAAATTCTGGTAAAATTATAGGTTAAACGATATTAATTTTTAAGAAAGCGATATCATTAGAATAACTGTACCTTGTTTAAGACGAATTGACCTGGGCAGCTATGATATAAACCTCTCATGATCTGAAGCCATGCTGTCGTGGTTGTCAACCAAATTGTCAATATTAATTCGTACAACTTGAATATTTCTTTCAGCCGATTTTCTCAAACGAGTAGGTGTTAGGCGGAATTAAAAATTGCACGCGGTAGGACAATAAAAGGAGCCATTAAGCGGCCAAGTTCCAGCGGCACGTCCCTAATTGAGCATTAATTAACTAAATGACTAAACCCATTGTCAGTTAATGACCTTGTCCAAACGCGTTTATGCATACATTACTGGTAATCGGTTTTAATGACTGGACAAACCTGAACATGTTTGCCTCTAAACAAAGGGTAGCTTGCACATAAATATCGCACATCGAACAGAATTTGCCCGAGAAAACACAGCAATGGAGTGCTTACATGGAGTGCCTGAGACCGCAATCTCTACCAAGAAAGGAAAGTTTTGGGTTTGTAACAAGAACAACCCTAAATGTTGTGAATTCTTTTGCCCCGAACAAGATCGTTCGCTCTTTGATACGGCTATGATGATGTGGAGGGCGAATGGTGCGATTCATCCGCTGTGTGATACTCACCAAAGACCGACCAAGATGAAAGTTGTGAAGGATCTAAGTAAACGTAACTTCGGGAGACCGTACTTTGTTTGCTGCGATCGTAAAAATCCGTGTAACTTTTGGCAATGGGGTGACAGATTAGAGCTTCCAAAACCGAAGTGCCGGCACGGGTTAAACTGTTGCGTGCGAAAAGTTAAAAAGGAGGGAGAAAATCAAGGCCGTCTGTTTTTCTGCTGCCCAAATGACAGAGAAAAATCTTGTGGCTTCTTTGAATGGAAAATTGTACCAGAGAATCCTTTTAACCAAGATCACTTTCCTCACATTCAGAGAGTTGGCCTATTGCAGAGTAATCCAGCCCTGTACACGTATGTGGTATCCGAAACAGGCCTTACCTTTTCCAGCGCACGGGAAAATCCTCACGACGCATACGCTGAATACATGGGAGAATTGCCGATGACAACGAAGGCACAAACAGACTGTTATTAAGTAATCCTGAACATAACATTTAATAGACTGCATAACATAATGCAAAGTGTAGAGTGAAACTATGTGTGTATATAGATAAACGTTTTTCCTTAATTTCGCAGCCGTCTGTACAAATTTAAAGTTCAATAAATGTATTGCATAAATATCACGCTGCTTGCTTGTCTGTATTCATTTGGATCTTGATCGTGCACAATGAATGGTTTCTACGTGATCGTTGACGAGCTGCAGCAAAATCATGTTCAAACCGATAAAGAAACTTTAAAGTTTCACGTAGACACTATGCTTTTAAACCATGGGGATATGTTGCAAGGTCATTGTCGTGATTACGAACAGCTGTACAAAGAAATAAATGTTTCAAACTTTGGTCGACTTTGTGCCTATTTAGCTTGCATATACTTAAACTGCAAAAGCAAGAAATGTATACGGCGCAATGTTAGGTATTGTATTCCATCCTTCGGGAATATAAGCGTTCAAAAAGCACAACCAAGCAAAAAATGGGCGATTGTTTTAACATTTTCATGTACGTTATTAGCTTTATATATCAGTTTGTAAACCTCAGGACATTCACTTCCCTGAAACCTTTGTGGCGAGAGGATGACTTGCTGTGGTAAAGCGCTCCCTGAAATCTCAATCAGAAATTTCTTTCGCAAAATACGTTGCATTTCCGCCTGTTGCGGGGGCAGTATTGTAATTCAGGCTTCTGACGTTGATGGCGGAAAAATATCTGAGCAACCTATATTACAGCCCAGAAAGTCCAGCAAGTTTTGGCAGCGTAGACGCCCTTTATCCTGCTGTTAGAGACGATGGCAAGTATCAAATATCACGGAATAAAATACGAGCATGGTTGAGAACTCCAGATACGTACACTCTTCACAAGCCAGTTCGATTTCGTTTCAAGCGCAATCGTGTTATAGTAGCAGCCATGGACGAAGAGTGGGAGGCAGATTTAGTTATTATGGACTCCTTAGCAAAGTACAATAATAACTACAAGTACATTTTAACCGTGATAGATGTACTTAGCAAGTATGCGTGGGTTGAACCGATAAAAACAAAGACGGGTGAAAATTTGGTCAGTGCGTTTGGGAAAGTTCTTAAGAAGCATCGCAAACCCGAAACGTTTCACTCAGATAAAGGAACGGAGTTTACCAACCGAAAATTTCAAACGTTTTTAAAAAAACAAGGTATTCGGTTCTTCACAACGCAAAATGAAACGAAAGCATCAATCGTAGAGAGATTCAATCGTACACTTAAGGGAAAAATGTGGAAATACTTTACAGCAAATAACACATTAAAGTACATGGACGTTCTACAGAAATTGGTTAAGTCCTATAATTACTCGAGGCATCGCAGTATTGGCATGAGACCAGTAGACGTGAACGAAACTAACGAAAGCGCTGTATGGCAAAAACTTTACGGTGAAGAGCCCGAAAAACCCATTCGATTTAAGTTTGATGTTGGCGATCAGGTTCGGATCAGCAAGGCAAGAAGAACATTCAAGAAAGGTTATCTACCAAATTGGACCGAGGAAGTATTTACTGTAACGAAACGCATACCTCAACGACCACCAGTCTACAGAATTGCTGACTACGATAACGATGAGTTACACGGAACATTCTATGAACAAGAATTGCAGAAAGTCAATAAGACAGACAGTGATTTTTATAGAGTGGAACAAATACTTAGATCACGCATGTTCACGCCAGGAGGGGTCGTACAGAGATTTCCGCCAGCCACCCCCCCTGCGCCTTCTGGGGACTGTATAATTTAATTCCTCTCCCGAGACAAACAATGGGAAACGGTTTATTCTTACGCTAAAATACAAACAAATACTTTACATCGATAAGTTGTTACAAGAGAATACAATAACTAAATACAAAGACACTAACAAAAGATAGATATGGTTAATACTTGATATAATAAACCTTTTGATATTTACTAAAATCGTCTTCGATATATACCAACATATGAAGCGAAATATCCAAACAAAACATAAAGTAAATCACACTAAAGTTCACAGAAAACTAAGCTTAAGTTTAGATAAGTCTTTTACCGTTTCTTTTCTGTGCTTTCAATGTAAAAAATCCCTTTTAAATACGACAACGAATGCTAAGATACAATGTTCTTTCGTCTCGACCACGTTGTAACTGCGCCTTTGTTGAGTTCTTCCAGCGGCTATAGTTCACGTCTTTCGCTACGTCATGTAGGCTTATCCAACGCATACGTAATAAACGTAAGGAATATTATGTAAAATGGCAAGGGTACCCGGAGAAGTTTAATTCATGGGTGCCAGCAGAAAGTGTAAAAGATATATAAATAAAATATCATTGAACCCAACATCATTTGTGTCCAAGTATTCATCATGACAACACAGTTTTATCTCACCCTGCCGAGTAATAGTTCTATGAGGTATTTTCCAAATAATACCATTGCAAATTTTCGCGTAAAATTAGCTGAAATGATCGTTCTACCCGGGCAGTGGGAGGTCACGCTGGCCGGACTTCATTACCCACACACATGGAGTACACTAAGACAGGGAGTGCAACAGTCATTTATTTGTCATGTGGACAAGCATGAAACTGGTTTGTTAAAAGACACACATTTTGCAACCGTCGCAGACCTTGTTAAAGCGATGAATGCATCCCTGAATAAGTAAGGTCAAACAAAAATAAAATTCGCTTATAATCGTAACACTCGCAAAGTAAGCGTTGATGTTAAACACGGCGCTTGGGTGTGGATGACTGGTGACATAGCTGCGACGCTGGGGTTTGGCGAAGACATCGTGATCAAAAAGAAAACAACAAGCCCTTTTGTAGCGGATATAAATGCCGGATTTTCTTCAATGTATATCTATACGGACATTGTAGATGCGCAGTTTGTAGGCGATGTTAAAGTTCCACTTTTAAGAATTGTTAATATCGAAGGCGACTATGGAAAGACCGTTCACGCCAGTTTTCGGAATTTACAATACGTTCCTGTGAAAGTGAACTCTTTTGAAACGGTTGAAGTCAATATAAAGAACGACCGCAACGAAAATGTCTCATTTGAGTTTGGAAAGTCGATCGTGACACTTCACTTTAGACAAAAGCGATCACAGTACTTTATTTGAAGATGCGGGAAGACTAGTTGTTGATCAAAAACTACTAAAAGAACATTATTTAAATAATCAACGAGGTGGTAATATTGCGGGATTTCGTGGTGCACGTATGCAGAGGGGTTATGGTATTGGTGGAATTTTCAAGAGCATTGCGAGGTTTGCTATTCCGCTTTTCAAGCAAGGAGCAAAAGCAGCGGGTAAAAGGGCACTACAAGCAGCGACAGAAGTAGGTCAGGATGTGCTTCAAGGAAAGAATATTTCGAAGTCAATAAAAGCCTGTGGGAAACAAGCTGTCACGGATGTCGCCGATAAAGCTGTCAAGAAATTGATGACTGGTAGTGGACAGAAAAAAGGTTTAAAAAGATCAGCACAAGCTAAACCTATCATTTCTTCTCGAGCCAAGAAGCAGAAAACATCTCTTGATAACTATAAACCAAAGTGGCATGGCTCAAGTCGTTGAAACAATTCATAAAGATCTGTATGTGCTCCAAATCTGAACTTGAATTATTTTCTGTACCACCGACGCAAGTAGAAATGGAAAAGGGATTTTGGGAGGATATTGATCCTGTCACAAGCATAACAGCCTCTGACACAATTGAATTCCTTTGCGCAGCAAACTCCGGAGTTTATATCGATTTAGCAAACAGTTACCTACACATTAAAGCAAAGATTACTATGCCAGACGGTGCAAATGTTGCTCAAGATGTCCAGGTCGGTCCTGTGAACCTATGGATGCATGCACTGTTCTCACAAGTAGAAGTGTTCCTAAACAACAAATTGGTAACACCGTCCAGTACGGCCTATCCTTACCGAGCTTATATGGAAACTATCCTGAACTTTAGCAAGGATGCCAAGGATTCTCATCTCACGTCTGCTTTATTTTACAAAGATAGTGCGGGAAAAATGGACAATGTTAACCCGCTTGCGCGACAAGCAGATGTGAATACAGGTCTAAAAGAACGTCATACACATACTCGTGGGAGTAGATCTGTTGCTATGGAAGGGAGACTACATTCGGATCTATTCGCACAAGAGTGCTATATTCTCGGGGCTGTTCCAATAAAGATTAAACTGGTTAGATCACGAAACCCATTTTGTCTAGTCTCATCTGCTGAGGACCCAGGTTTCAAAGTAGTTATTGAAGAATGTGTATTTCGCGTGCGACGCGTCAACGTATCGCCAAGTGTAATAATAAACCATTCCCAAGCCCTACAGCATACGACGGCCAAATATCCGATCAATCGCGTCGAATGTAAAGTTGTCACTGCCCCCCGAGGAAACATGTCGGGAAATCAACCCAATATATTTCAAGGTATTCTATCAAATTGTGTCGTTATTGGTATGGTCGATGCAGATGCGTTCAATGGTAGCTATGCAAAGAATCCGTTCAACTTCAAGAACTACGACATCACAAATTTTGGGCTGAATGTAAACGGTGAAAATCTACCTGGAAAACCATTTCAACTAAAATTTGCGAGTGCAAGAGGAAGTAACTACATTTCAGCGTTCCAAACACTGTACGCTGGGACACATAAAATGTTTGAAAATCAGGGCAATGGTATAACTCGTGAAGAATATGCAGACAGTTTTACACTGTGTGTTCGATCTCACTTCAGACCTGTGCCTTGGTGATCATGCACAACCAATTAGAAACGGAAATGTCTCGATCGAATGTCAGTTTGGAACGGCCTTGGAGGCGGCTATAAATATTGTGGTGCTTGGTGAATTTCAAAGTCTTATCGAAATTGACGCGAACAGGAACGTGCTGTGTGACTTCACTAACTGAACATGAATACGCTGCAGATTTTGAATATATTAAAAAGTGACTCGTTTACAAAGACTGTATTTACAGACGTTTTACCATAAGATCGTTTACCTGGGCTAGTAAGAAAAGACCAAAAGGTTTTGTAGTCAACACTGATCCAGTAAAAACCCGGAAGTCACTGGTGTGCCTGTTTGTCACAGAAGATGGGAGAGGAGAGTTTTGGGACTCGTACGCGAAAGCGCCAGGATTCTACAGTCAACACTTTACACGGTTTTTGGAGAAACATTGCAGTACATTTAGTTGGAACACGAGGGTTTTGCAAGCACCCAACTCGGACGTGTGTGGACAGTATACGTTATTCTTTGCTTTGCATCGCTGTAGGCATATTCCAATGTCAACCATTGCAAACATGTTTACGGAGAGCAAAGAATGGAACGACATGCTTGTACGTGACTTTATACAAAAGTGGTGTGAATAAATACAAATAATGTTAGTTTAAAAATACATTTATTGTAAAAAACATATATATTTACAAAGAAATAAATTATTTTAACCATTTATATGGACTACTGTTTATGACTTTACGCTGTTTTTTTCGTTTTTGCTGCATCGGGGTAAGATGTGGTTCGGGTGAGGGCTGGGCGACATTATCAGAAAGTCCTTTAGTTTTATATTCGCGAACAAGTCCTAAGCGATTTTCGTTTCTGATAACGCCTTCGGGTACGTTTAAATGTCCCAGCGCCTTCGAAAATAACTCCCAACCTTGTGGATTAAAGTTTTTCCTCTGACGCAATGAATCGTTGACCAAATCGACGATATTTGTTCCGGGTACTGATCTTCCTTTGAACATCATCTGACCTTGTTCATTCCATCCTACGACATCTTTGTTTGCTTTAAGTTTCTTCACCAACTGACGTGCTCTAGATTTCATTGTAGCTGGAACACTATCCAGTATGTCTGATTCAATCTCGTCATCATCCTTTATCTCTGGAATTTTTTCTTCTTTATCTTCAGTCACAGAAGGTTCGACGTTAGTCACTCTAATAGGTTTACTCATACGTTTGTCGTAAAAATTTAAGTATCGTTGTAGGGACTGGTCGTACAGTTTCGCCCTCTCATCAACGGGCATGTCTTGGCGTTGAAGTAGCCCTTGCATCTCGGAGTCAATTTCACCTACTTGTGCAGTCAAAGGTGGTACGAAAGGTTTCTTTCGTTGTTCAGCCATATGTTCGGGTACAAGGACCAATCTTTTGACGTGTTCCATTTATAGAAAGTTAGCCAACTGTCCCAAAACGGATGTGAGTAGAAACGGTAGGAAGCCCTCCCCTTTCTGGACAAGACGTGCTCTTCTTTTTGCAATAGGATTTCGTTTGTCAGCCGCAAACTTTATATGTTTGGAGTGTGGTGCAATTTTTTTCGCTGTTTTTGGTTTCAGTTTAATTGTATCAAACCAGACGTTTAAAGACACTGTCTTATAGCTTCCAGTAGATCGTCTTCGGTTGCTTTTAAAATAGCTTTTCTCAGTTTGGGTTTACACTTAGCTAATACTCTCAGAAGTTCGGAGTTCCTTTTCATGCAAGCAGACATGGTCAAATGAGCTAAATCCACAAGCAAATCCTACGTTTATACTCTTGGTTGATAGACATAATGAGTATCTGTTGGAAAGATACCAAATCGTAATCGAATTTCATCAGGACACGTTGGTGTCAAATCAACAAATAAATATGAATAGGCTTCTTTCGTTGCTAATTGAAAAGCTTGTTGAAAGAATTTAGTTTGACTGGAATATATCTGCTTGGCTAGATGTATAATTTGACTAGCATCGCGGACGTTTTTAGTCAGGCACAAATAACTTGCATTTAAGGAAATTGTTCGGTGTTCCTTTCCGTGTTGAAACAAATTTTGCACGATATAAATTACGCTCAAATTGCCATGGTGCGATTTTTTCGTAAATAATTTTGAAATTACTCCGTCCTTCTCACCCATCATATCGTCAATGATATATAAATTGCGTGTTTCAGGATTAATACTATCTAGTATATCGTCAGGTATGCCTTGTATAAATTTTATTCTAGGCACTATATTGTGAATTTCTCCAAATGTTTCTTGATATTCAGAATAAAAATAAACAATGTTTTCTGGAGATTTGTCTATAATGACATCTGCATAACTCAAAAGTTTCTTCACAAATGTAGTTTTGCCTGACTTTGTACTACCAGAGACAAAGAGGCCGAATGGATGTGTTAACTGTATAGAATACATCATGAAAATGATCGCATGTGTGTTTCGATCAGCTTATTTATTATCAGTAAGACTGTTTCCATGTCAATTGGCATTTTCTTAGCACGTACGAGATAGGATTGTCTTTGATGACTCGCGAGTTTGTGAACATTAGCTAGATGATTGGAGAGTTTTACTAATCCTTTTCTTCCGCAAATGGGACAGATCTTTCGGGTCCAAGGCATATTATCAAATGAGACCTTTTATAATATACAGCCACTGTTATAAGTCCCTTTGGGGGAATAAATTACTGCAGAGGTGCAGAGGAATGTCCTCATGAAGATAGCATGCTTCCCTAATGTCCCTCCGGGGATTTTTTTATTCCCTAAACGTCCCTGCAGATAGACACACACACACAGGTTCTATGTTTTCAAATGATGCATTATTATACAAACCCTAAAAACCATATGGTAAAGTATCAAAACTATTTACAATTCACGCTTAGTATATACCATTCTATATTTTTTCCTTTCACTTTTCGTTATTATCGCTTTGTCCCTCGTGTCTCTTATGATCTTATACGGAATGTCGATGGTGATTCCATCGTTTTCATTACTTATAGTGTTCAAGAAGATCAAATCACACAAGACACTGTGATTAACAAATTGCTTCGTTCTGTAGTTCAATGTTATCCCGCGTACTTTGCAAACTGTTTTCCCCTTGTTCGTCTCGTAACTGTAGTTCTTGGGACCACCGGACGCAAACGTGATAATATGAGCTCCATCTAATTCATCAGTCAGGTCACCGAGGTATGAACCAACGGGTGGCTCCCATTCACCATCTCTTGACACATAGATCACGGAGTCCGTGTCGAAATACAAGACACGACGATCCAGCTGCTCCAGAACGCTGTAGAGTTTCAGGCGAGCATGGGCTGTAGTGAAGGCCGCGATAATTACATTTGTATTTCCGTCAGCCTCCACGAACTCTTCGATATTTTCATAATGTGCTTCGATCAGCTCGTCGTTGATGAAATTAACGTCAGTGACGTTGATTTTGTCACTAGATAAAAGGTCGAAGTATTCAGCAGGATCCGAAATGATTTTAACCTGACCCATGTTAGGACGTTGTGCAAACTTTCCTGAAACAAGAAAATGAAAAAGTGTTCTCAAAATGCATATTACATGCCCTTGAAAAAGGGTAATTGCATTAGCAGTAACAGTATAGCGTGCTTACCCCAAAAGGAGTTAAGCATGAGCTTTGCCAACGCCCTTAGGCCAGGATTCTTGACGATCTGTCTAGGATCCAGTTGTATTCCCTCCTTTGCCGCGTAATCAGCAATGTACTGTGACTTCTTCTCGTCTGTATCGCACCCTGCTGGAAAACCACTTGCCTGAAAAGGAAAATAATAGCTAAGAAATTGTTAATAAAACAGGAAATACAGCCTCTCTCTCTCTCTTTATCTACCTCTTGTTTGATTTTGAGGAAGGTATCGATGTAATCTTTGAAGAGGCCATCTCTATGTTCAGGGAAATGCCAAACTTCGTCTATCTTCAGGACTCGATAACCCTTCTCGAGGGCCTTTTCCAGCTCCAGACTCACCCATGTGCTGTGTATAGCTCTCTCTCTATCAACGTGTTTGCAGGGTTCTTGTTGCACGGAGTCGGCACAGGTACGGCAGAGGGGAAACATTAACTTGCCCTGAGTACGATAGGGCAAGACCGGGTGATAGAGCCCTCGAGGTGGTAGCACAGAACATTTTATTAGACCAAAGTAACTTTCAACCAGTCCAAAATTATCTGTGATTATTTCTGGGTGTCCGATCGGATATTCCCCATATTTGTTACACCTAGAAATAATAACTTAATAAGGTTAGTAAGCAATACAAGTTGTTGCCGCTTCATCGACATACTTACCAGGGATAGAAACTGCAGAAGTCTACATAACGAATCTTTTCATCAACTCTGACGTCGTAGTAAAGACGTGTGGCATTGGTGCGGCCACCGAAGAAAGCCTGTCGTGGCTCTAGAGGTTCAAAGATTTCAAAATCGTCGAAAAACGTCTTCATCTCTGAATCCATGGAAAGCTCACGTTCGATGTCGCAGGTCCATATCTCTATAACGTTATAGCCATTCTCTTGAAGGTACTGGGTCTTCTCTAACGTCCTCTGTCGTAAGTCGTGCATGGAGATGTGGTTTACTGGATTCACAGTATCCATGGTATAGCACCGGTCGCACCCGTGCCAGAAAACAGCCATGAATCTCCCACACCGTATTGCTTTCTTCGTTAAATCCGTCGACAAGATACTTACCGATACGTTTCTCCCCGTGATTACGAGCATGACGGATGCTAATATTGTCCCGCTGGGATACCCATTTCAGCATTTTCATTGCAATCACAGAGTGTTTGTTCTCTGGCTTGTAACCACACGGAGGAATGATCGCGATTGTGTCCTTCTCGAGGAAGTTTTTCCGGAAGACAAGATTGCAGGCAGAGGCAATGGTCAGACAGGATGCAAAGGGGTCAACTTCAGGGGGAAGTCGGCTAATTTCATTGGGATAAAACATAACGAGTCTATGAATTTGATGTTCAGCTCGGAAACGGTGAGAGAGAGGATTTTTGCGCCACGAGGGATTAGTTCGGGAGTGATGCCTTGACTGTAGAGGTATTGAAGGAGGAAATAACCGTCGTATGCCTGAAAATTATGTACTATCAATGTAGTTTTTGCGTGCTGTGGCTGGAATAGCCATTCGCAGAACTTGATATTGGTATTCGGACCAGAGAACACAGTTTCATCGCCGTTTTCGTTTTGAACGATGCAGAGGTTCGGAATGTGTTTGCCGTCATCCTGTAAACACTCGAAGTCGAAGAACATGAGATTGGACTTATGTTCTGCAACATCGTCCTGCACCTCCACGTCATCGTTCAGGAGGTCGTTTCGTCGTCGTCGTTGTTGTTCTGGTTGTCGGGTCTCCACAGGTTGAAGGAAGCATTGGTGCCCTTCTGCTTTTACGTATTTCTTGCAGGTGGAACACCTCACCTTACCACAATGATGATCATTCAGGTTAGCACGAGTTACGACACGATCACATGTTTGGCACTTCTCAAGGGAGCGACATATGGATTTGGCGGGGCCGTCATCATCTTTATGACGGATGTAGCATTCCTGGCTTTTGTAATAGCGATTGCAGTCGTTACAATGAACCCATTCTACGATAGGGCATCCCTGCGTATGACACAATTTGCAAAGATTGCCACACGGGTGATCTGTGACTTTATCATAGCCTTTCTTGCACTTATCGCAATACTTTTTACGCGCGAGGAAGGCGAGCATACTGGTGATCACGTCGTAGTGGTTATCATGGTGATAGAGGTACAGGTGTTTCTCAGCTTTGGAACTGGAGTATATAAGTGCATTCAGGTGTTCTTTGGACACCACGTTGAGTTGGTATCCAGGAAGGGCCTCATCGAACTTTTTAATTTCTGGGATTCCGCAAGGCCCGAGGGGAACACCAGCAGATTCGTGGAGCCGATGAGCAAGACGGGTTTGCATAGGTCTTTGATTGTGGGCAATATGTTTGTATTGTGGGTCTTGATCATATTTTGCTTTCGCCACGATAATAACACAAGCACAACACATATCGTCCTTGTTTTTGATTTGGACGATGCATCCTTTCTTGGCCAAATAGGCCTCGAGCTTAATTACATCGCGACGTTTTCGACCGGAGCCTTGGGGCATTTCTACGTGAACGACGTTCACATTGAGGGAATCGTCCAGGGTGAATTGATCATTTGATTGAACCACTTTTTCCACTGCGGTCAGGAAACGTTCTGGGGTTAGATTATTTCGAGGGAGGAAAGGTAGGGAAATGGGCCTGTCAAGTTGGGTTGAATGCATAATGAAGCGAATCTGATCGTGGGGAGCCATGCCATCAGTAATGCGGTCAAACAAACTACGAAATGCACGATGCAATGTGGGCATAACATTCGATATACCATGCACGTCCAAGGGATTAAACTGAATCGTATAATCAACGCCTGCAAATATTAAATGCAGTACAATGTGGCTTAGCTTTTATAATTATATGGGCTCCTACCAATTATCACCAAGTGGAATGACACCTGGGTCCTAACTCTATAAGGATGTAAGGGTTTGATAATTATTCTATAAGCCATACTGTATCATGCACAAGCATCATACAAGAATAAAAAACATTGTTGATCACATGATTAAACATTAACGTCTGATTGCAGGTTAACTAGCCGCGGTGTAGGTTAACTAACCCCAAATGGATTAGCGTCACTCTAATCAGATGTTCAATCATGGCTTGAGTTTTCATCATCATTTTTTTTTTAATTTTTATTTTTAAGCACAGTACAAGACATGTTTGAACATTTGACCCTTACAAGTAAGATAAAATGAAATCAGTACCTGTTGTATTGAATTTCCTCACATTCACTTGCTTTACAGATTTGACGGTAAAGTATTCTTCAGGTTTCGCCGTTTAGCAGGCGATCCAATGTTTTCATCGTCTACGGGACGTTTTCCTTCTCCCGTTTGGCTTTCGACCGGTTCGCTTGGCATCTCATCACACAAGTTATTATCGTCAGTCCACGTGTTGGCAAATCGTAGACGCTGGGAGCCGGACCAGTTTTCGATTAGGCTACGATCGATAGCATTGTTCCTTGTCCAAATCTTTAGCCGCTGTAGCAAAATAGCTTCTTTCTCCTCAACGGTAAGATCGAACGCTTCCTGGAAAACATCAAGAGCAGCTTCGGTTTTGCACTCACGAATCATTTCAAGCATCTATAAATATAAACAAATGAAAAAAAAAACGTGAATGCAAGCACACGAAAATCATGTACGATTTTGAAAGAAAGAAAAAACCTTAAAAGAAAAGCAAACATTTTCACTTACAGGCGATACAATGTTTTCGTCGTCTACGGGACGTTTTCCTTCTCCCGTTTGGCTTTCGACCGGTTCGCTTGGCATCTCATCACACAAGTTATTATCGTCAGCCCACGCGTTGGCAAGACGTAGACGCTGGGAGCCGGTCCAGTTTTCGTTCAGGCTACGATCGATAGCATTGTTCCTTGTCCAAATCTTTAGCCGCTGAAGCAAAATAGCTTCTTTCATAAACGCGTTTGGACAAGGTCATTAACTGACAATGGGTTCAGTCATTTAGTTAATTAATGCTCAATTAGGGACGTGCCGCTGGAACTTGGCCGCTTAATGGCTCCTTTTATTGTCCTACCGTGTGCAATTTCTAATTCCGCCTAACACCTACTCGTTTGAGAAAATCGGCTGAAAGAAATATTCAAGTTGTACGAATTAATGTTGACAATTTGGTTGACAACCACGACAGCATGGCTTCAGATCATGAGAGGTTTATATCATAGCTGCCCAGGTCAATTCGTCTTAAACAAGGTACAGTTATTCTAATGATATCGCTTTCTTAAAAATTAATATCGTTTAAACTATTGCAAACATACAAAAAGCATAGTGCTAGGAGTAGGAATCGAACCCACGAAGTGCAACGCACATTAGATCTTGAGTCTAACGCCTTTACCAACTCGGCCATCCTAGCATTTTGTATTTTAAAGTGATAAATATCTAAAAAACGTCTAGTTGTTTGCGACTGGAATAAATTAACTCAAAGTTGTTATGAATACTTAATCAGTGACATAATCTTCGGGTGATTGTCGGATGCGAATCGGGTTGAATAATTAATTAGGGTTAAGGTCTTAAAGGAGCAAGGCACATCATGAATACATAATTACTTTCAGCAGGCCTTTGCATACTAATTACTTTCAGCAGGCCTTTGCATACTAATTACTTCCGTAGCCAGAGTGGGGGGTATCACTACTTTCCAGGATTTGATGATCTGGTCACCTTTGTTGACGAATGCGCTGAGTCGGCGAATCATCCTGTATATAGTAAAGATGTCTTGAAGCAAGATGTTTTGAAACGATTTGATGCCAGAGATAAGAAAAAAATCAGCGACGTTACTAAAAGCTTTGCTGCTAAGATCAAACCCCCTGAACCACCGGCTATTCCTCAACAAGGTGCAAATTCTGAAGCAAGCAAGTCAGAATATTGTCCATGGTGCAGTATAAACCACTTACTTGATGATTGTGTTGAATTCCTGAAGAGGTCTATTGATAAGAGGAAGTCGCTTCTTTATGAGAAGAAAATGTGTTTTTCATGTTATGGATATAACCATATCGCGAAAGGATGTTTGCAGAAGAAGACGTGTGACACCTGTGGTAAGAACCATCCAACTGCATTGCACATTATTGGTTTTAAATCTGCTGGCAAAAGGGAATCTTCCAGAAAATAAAGATGATGATAATGAGATGGAGAACAAAGTAAACAACGGCTGTATTGGTTTTTCAGTCAATACCGGTGATGTTAAGCAGAACGACACTAAGAACATTATATACCACGCGATTCTTCCAGTGAAAGTGAAGCAGAAAGGAAGCAATAAATCTATAACCACGTATGCGTTCTATGATAACGGCAGTGGTGGATCTTTTATTACAGAAAACCTACAGAATCAGTTGGGAATAAAAGGTGTGGAAACAGCCCTTCAACTTGGTACAATGCACGGGCAGAGCTATGTGAGATGCAACGTTCTTAACGACCTGATTGTGACGGACTTGAAGAACGAGAATCCCGTCAGAATTGAAAAGCTGTATACCCGAGAGTTCATTCCCGTTGATCATAACCAAATGCCAACTTCAGAAATTGTTGCAAATTGGCTTCACCTTGAAACTGTTGCCAAAGAAATTCCGAAACTGCAACCAGAGTTAGAGATTGGATTATTGATTGGTAGAAATTGCGTCATGGCCCACGAACCACTGAAAGTGATACCAAGTAAAAGTGACGGTCCTTTCGCTGTTCTTCTTCATCATGGATGGACAGTTAGTGGACCTCTGTGTCCAGAACAGTCGCAATCAAACACTGAGAAGGTTTGTGTCAATCGTATCACCGTACGTGAAATTCAGAGCGTGAAAGAGATCGTTACACCCAAGTCGTTGCTTGACGCGTTGGCGATAGACTTCAATGAACGCGATGTAGTTCGCGTGGATGCAGATGGAAAGAGTTTTTCCGTTGAAGATGTACAGTTTATGGAGAAAGTTGAAACTGGAATTCGTTACAACGAAGGACACTATGAAATTCCTCTGCCTTTCAGAACTAACGATGTTACGATGCCTAACAATAAAGTCCAAGCAATCAAACGAGCGGAATGGCAAAAAAGGAAAATGTTAAAGAACGAACAGTATCGACGAGATTACACGGTGTTTATGGAAGAAGTTATCGCTAAGGGTTACGCAGAGAAAGTACCTTCACCATCTTCATCTGAGAATGGGAAAGTTTGGTACATCCCACATCACGGCGTGTACCACCCGAAAAAGCCAGAAAAAATCCGCGTTGTATTCGACTGTAGTTCTCAATTTCAAGGAACCTCCATTAACGATCAACTGCTCCCTGGTCCGAACCTTACCAACACGTTAATTGGCGTTTTAATTCGATTCAGACAAGACCCAATAGCTTTCATGGCTGACATCGAAGCTATGTTTTATCAAGTGCAAGTACCTCTCAGCCAACGTGATTTCCTGCGATTCTTGTGGTGGCCCAATGGCGATTTAAACTCGAACATGCAAGAATATCGTATGACGGTGCATTTGTTTGGTGCTGTCTCCTCGCCAAGCTGCTCAAACTACGCTCTAAGGAAAACTGCGTCCGATAACGAGAAAGAGTTTGGTCAACAAGTCGCAAGAACAATTGAGCGCAATTTCTATGTAGACGACTGCCTAAAATCAAACGGAAACACGACGACGGCAATCAACTTAATTAAAGATTTACGTCATGCGTGTGCTAACGGAGGATTTCACATAAAAAATCTAGACTTGAATCATGATAAGCTTCCACTAGAACGTGCTCTTGGAGTCCATTGGTCCATAGAATCTGACACATTTGAATTTCGCATAACGTTGAGCTCCAAACCAGTTACCAGAAGAGGAATTTTGTCAACAGTGTCTTCACTTTACGATCCTTTGGGTTTTGCTGCTCCATTTACTTTGCCTGCAAAGAAGATCTTGCAAGAGCTTTGTCAATTACAGCGGTTGGGTTGGGACGACGAAATTCCACATGAGTATGAAGTTCGCTGGGCCAAATGGAAAAATGACATACAAATGATTTCTCAAGTTCAAGTCAACCGAAGTTTTATACCGCCGAGCTTTGGAAAAGTCGTGTCGAGACAGTTTCATCTATTCTCCGACGCAAGCCTTTTTGGATACGGTTCGGTGGCCTATCTTCGTTTGAAAGATGATGAAGGAAGAATTCATTGTGCCTTCCTAATGGGCAAGTCCCGTCTTGCTCCGGTGAAAGTCGTGACCATACCACGTTTAGAGCTCGTGGCGGCAGTCTTGTCCGCACGTCTGGGTCGATTGCTTACTGATGAAATTGAAGATAAGCCTGACATTAGAATATACCACACTGACTCGACTACCGTCCTCCGATACATCCTGAACGAACATACGAGATTCCATGTATTCGTAGCAAACCGAGTGCAACAGATACGAGATTTGACTGACCAAACACAGTGGAGATATGTGCAATCCAGCGACAATCCAGCAGATTACGCTTCAAGAGGACTAGACGGAAAGTCCTTTCCCCAGCTACGTCAATGGATCCAGGGTCCAGATTTTCTATGGAAAGAAGAAGCAGAATGGCCAGAACAACCGTTATCATTGAGTGAAGCATCGATCAACGATCTAGAAGTTAAGAAAGCCGTTAGCAGCTTAGCGGTTAAGGTTGACAATTCTCTGTCTTCAATCAACAAATTAATTGAATATTATTCAGACTGGTATCGCTTAAGGAAGGCTGTTGCAATAATGCTCCGAGTTCGCAAGTTGCTCAAAGAACGAAGATTACGAAACAAAGCACGTAACCTGCAACAATTGACAGTGGATGGCAAGAACCGAATCTCAAAGGGAAGAAAGCCACTACCATTAGTACCACCAATGACACTACAAGAGTTAAAAGAAGCCGAAGATGCAATTATTCGATGTGTTCAAGAACAGTCGTACGGAGAAGAAATACGAGCCATCAATGACATCATGAAATCAGATGAAACGGTAGTAAGAAAATTAGAGAAACAAAAGAAAGCTCAGATTAAGAAGACAAGTTCTATCCATCGACTCAACCCATTCCTCTCTCAAGGCATTCTTCGCGTTGGTGGTCGTCTCTCCAAAGCCGACTTGCAAGAGGAAACGAAATACCCTAGTATCCTGCCACCAAAAAATCATGTAACAACGCTTATAATTCGTCATATTCATCGCAGTTTGGGTCATGCTGGACGTGCTCACGTTTTAGCCGCCTTAAGAGAAAGATATTGGATAGTCAGTGCCAATTCAGCCTTCCGTAGCTGTCTGTACAAATGCGTAACATGTCGCCGGATCAGGGCATCACCAACTGAGCAGAAGATGGCTGACCTTCCCGTGGAACGAGTAAATCCAGTTCCTCCGTTTACCTATGTTGGCGTAGATTATTTTGGCCCATTCTACATTAAAGACAGAAGGAAAGTCTTGAAAAGATATGGAACTCTCTTTACTTGTCTCTCAAGTCGAGCGATTCATAGTCGAGCGATTCATATTGAAGTCTCTAATTCATTTGACACCGACTCATTCATCCATGCATTAAGGCGATTTGTGGCTCGACGAGGACCAGTTCAACAAATTAGATGCGATAATGGAACAAATTTCGTCGGTGCAAAATCAGAGCTTGACAAGTCCTTTGCTCAGATGGATCATTTAAGAACTCAAAGCAAGATGAATCAAATGAACATTGAATGGCGATTCAATCCTCCAGCAGCAAGCCACATGGGCGGGGTCTGGGAAAGACAAATCAGAAGCGTACGCAAGATCTTAGCTGGGATACTTCTCGAAAATGGGAAACAACTGGATGATGAGTCATTTCATACGTTACTATGTGAAGTAGAAGCTATTATTAACTCTCGGCCTTTAACTTTCCCATCCAGTAATCCAGACGACCTAACCCCAATAACTCCGAGCAATATCCTTACAGTGAAAACGAAGATAATTCTACCTCCTTCTGGTGTATTCGAACGCGAAGACCTATACGCATGTCGTCGTTGGCGCCGTGTACAATACTTAGCCAATCTATTTTGGAGCAGATGGAAGAAGGAATATTTGTTATTACTTCAACAAAGGCATAAATGGACAACAACTAGACGGAATGTAGCAGTAGGTGATGAAGTTCTTCTTAAAGACGAGAATTTATCAAGGAACGTTTGGTTGATGGGACGTGTCACTACTACAAATCTAGATTCTGCTGGGTACGTGAGAAGCGTAGTTTTAAGAACATCCAACGCAGAGCTTCACCGTCCAATTTCGAAACTGGTGGTGTTATTAGAGAAAAGTGACACCGAAGAGCTGTGAACTAGATAAGTGAACATCTTCAATTGACAGTTTTCAGTTTATTGTGTGTTATCAATATACATTATACAGTATTAATGCTAAGGTTATAAATTAAACGATGATCGTTTAAAGGGGCGAGAATGTTAATGCCACAGATCATTAATTATGGTAATTACAACCACAGTATATAAGGTGTGATGATACGAATATTTAACGTTTTTTAAGTTTGATATGTTATACCGGACAGTGTCTAAAACTAGAACTAAATATCTATGGCATACGGCATCGATGTAAGGCAATAAGGGACACAACGTAAGTTAATTCGTGATTTGTTGTAAGTTAATTCGTAGTGTATTAAGTTTATATCCTGTATTGTACATAGTTTTATATATTGTTTATTTAGTTTTTAAACCGTAAGCAACGAAGCTTATCAAATATCAGACAACACCGTTTGATGTAACTTTGTAGTATGCACGTATCGAATTTGGGTCTCTTTGTCCCTTTCATCCTGTAACAGCGAGAACAGATTACGGACTGTCGCGGTTACATTGTCTACAACAAAGCTTGTCAATAGATATATTGAAAATCAATAGTTTCAGTTAGACATTACAATGTATTTTCCTTAAACTAATGCTGGGCTACTTTTAGAGGGCTTTAGATCTCTTTGCATACAACCTTTTCACACAAACATATGTGAACCTTAAATATCTGATACCTTTTGAATAAATTAAACAGCACCTACTAATAGATAGTTCAACTATCCAAATATAGCAATTCTGTTGGTATATCTTATCATCCTTGTATATAGTGTACAATATATATTTTGTACAACAAAGCTTGTCATAGATATATTGCAAATCAATAGTTTCAGTTAGACATTACAATTATTTTCTTTAAGCATTTAATGCTGGAGTACTTTTAAAGGGCTTTAGATCTGTTTGCATACAACCTTTTCACACAAACATATGTCAACCTTAAATATCTGATACCTTTTGAATAAATTAAACAGCACTTACTGATACATAATTCAACTATCCAAATATAGCAATTCTGTTGGTATATATTATTATACTTGTATATAGTGTACAATATATATTTTGTACAACAAAGCTTGTCAATAGATATATTGAAAATCAATAGTTTCAGTTAGACATTACAATGTATTTTCCTTAAACTAATGCTGGGCTACTTTTAGAGGGCTTTAGATCTCTTTGCATACAACCTTTTCACACAAACATATGTCAACCTTAAATATCTGATACCTTTTGAATAAATTAAACAGCACTTACTTATAGATAGTTCAACTATATAAATGTAGCAATTCTGTTGGTATATCTTATTATCCTTGTATATAGTGTACAATATATATTGTGTACAACAAAGCTTGTCAATAGATATATTGCAAATCAATAGTTTCAGTTAGACATTACAATGTATTTTCCTTAAACTAATGCTGGGCTACTTTTAGAGGGCTTTAGATCTCTTTGCATAGAACCTTTTCACACAAACATATGTAACCTTAAATATCTGATACGTTTTGAATAAGTTAAACAGCACCTACTGATAGATAGTTCAACTATCCAAATATAGCAATTCTGTTGGTATATCTTATTATACTTGTATATAGTGTACAATATATATTGTGTACAACAAAGCTTGTCAATAGATATATTGAAAATCAATAGTTTCAGTTAGACATTACAATGTATTTTCCTTAAAATAATGCTGGGCTACTTTTAGAGGGCTTTAGATCTCTTTGCATACAACCTTTTCACACAAACATATGTCAACCTTAAATATCTGATACCTTTTGAATAAATTAAACAGCACCTACTGATAGATAGTTCAACTATCCAAATGTAGCAATTCCGTTGGTATATCTTATTATCCTTGTATATAGTGTACAATATATATTGTCTGTTAATGCCACAGATCATTAATTATGGTAATTACAACCACAGTATATAAGGTGTGATGATACGAATATTTAACGTTTTTTAAGTTTGATATGTTATACCGGACAGTGTCTAAAACTAGAACTAAATATCTATGGCATACGGCATCGATGTAAGGCAATAAGGGACACAACGTAAGTTAATTCGTGATTTGTTGTAAGTTAATTCGTAGTGTATTAAGTTTATATCCTGTATTGTACATAGTTTTATATATTGTTTATTTAGTTTTTGAACCGTAAGCAACGAAGCTTATCAAATATCAGACAACACCGTTTGATGTAACTTTGTAGTATGCACGTATCGAATTTGGGTCTCTTTGTCCCTTTCATCCTGTAACAGCGAGAACAGATTACGGACTCTCGCGGTTACATTGTCTACAACAAAGCTTGTCAATAGATATATTGAAAATCAATAGTTTCAGTTAGACATTACAATGTATTTTCCTTAAACTAATGCTGGGCTACTTTTACAGGGCTTTAGATCTCTTTGCATACAACCTTTTCACACAAACATATGTCAACCTTAAATATCTGATCCCTTTGGAATAAATTAAACAGCACCTACTGATAGATAGTTCAACTATCCAAATGTAGCAATTCTGTTGGTATATCTTATTATCCTTGTATATAGTGTACAATATATATTGTCTACAACAAAGCTTGTCAATAGATATATTGAAAATCAATAGTTTCAGTTAGACATTACAATGTATTTTCCTTAAACTAATGCTGGGCTACTTTTAGAGGGCTTTAGATCTCTTTGCATACAACCTTTTCACACAAACATATGTCAACCTTAAATATTTGATACCTTTTGAATAAATTAAACAGCACCTACTGATAGATAGTTCAACTATCCAAATATAGCAATTCTGTTGGTATATCTTATTATCCTTGTATATAGTGCACAATATATATTTTGTACAACAAAGCTTGTCAATAGATATATTGCAAATCAATAGTTTCAGTTAGACATTACAATTATTTCCTTGAGCATTTAAACATTTAATGCTGGTGTACTTTTAATGGGCTTTAGATCTCTTTGCATACAACCTTTTCACACAAACATATGTCAACCTTAAATAATATCTGATACCTTTTGAATAAATTAAACAGCACCTACTGATAGATAGTTCAACTATCCAAATATAGCAATTCTGTTGGTATATCTTATTATCCACAAAACTTGTCAATAGATATATTGAAAATCAATAGTTTCAGTTAGACATTACAATGTATTTTCCTTAAACTAATGCTGGGCTACTTTTAGAGGGCTTTAGATCTCTTTACATAGAACCTTTTCACACAAACATATGTCAACCTTAAATATCTGATACCTTTTGAATAAATTAAACAGCACCTACTGATAGATAGTTCAACTATCCAAATATAGCAATTCTGTTGGTATATCTTATTATCCTTGTATATAGTGTACAATAAATATTTTGTACAACAAAGCTTGTCAATAGATATATTGCAAATCAATAGTTTCAGTTAGACATTACAATTATTTTCCTTAAGCATTTAATGCTAGGGTACTTTTAAAGGGCTTTAGATCTCTCTGCATACAACCTTTTCACACAAACGTATGTCAACCTTAAATATCTGATACCTTTTGAATAAATTAAACAGCACCTACTGATAGATAGTTCAACTATCCAAATGTAGCAATTCTGTTGGTATATCTTATTATCCTTGTATATAGTGTACAATATATATTGTCTACAACAAAGCTTGTCAATAGATATATTGAAAATCAATAGTTTCAGTTAGACATTACAATGTATTTTCCTTAAACTAATGCTGGGCTACTTTTAGAGGGCTTTAGATCTCTTTGCATACAACCTTTTCACACAAACATATGTCAACCTTAAATATCTGATACCTTTTGAATAAATTAAACAGCACCTACTGATAGATAGTTCAACTATCCAAATGTAGCAATTCTGTTGGTATATCTTATTATCTACAAAGTTTGTCAATAGATATATTGCAAATCAATAGTTTCAGTTAGACATTACAATATATTTTCCTTAAACTAATGCTGGGCTACTTTTAGAGGGCTTTAGATTTGTTTGCATACAACCTTTTCACACAAACATATGTAACCTTAAATATCTGATACGTTTTGAATAAGTTAAACAGCACCTATTGATAGATAGTTCAATTATCCAAATATAGAAATTCTGTTGGTATATCTTATTATACTTGTATATAGTGTACAATATATATATTGTGTACAACAAAGTTTGTCAATAGATATATTGCAAATCAATAGTTTCAGTTAGACATTAAATGTATTTCCCTTAAACTAATGCTGGGCTACTTTTAGAGGGCTTTAGATCTCTTTTCATACAACCTTCTCACACAAACATATGTGAACCTTAAATATCTGATACCTTTTGAATAGAATAAACAATACCTACTGATAGATAGTTCAACTATCCAAATATAGCAATTCTGTTGATATACCTTATTATCCCTGTATATAGTGTACAATATATATTTTGTATAACAGAGCTTGTCAATAGATATATTGCAAATCAACAGTTTCAGTTAGACATTACAATATATTTTCCTTAAACTAATGCTAGGCTACTTTTAGAGGGCTTTAGATCTCTTTGCATACAACCTTTTCACACAAACATATGTAACCTTAAATATCTGATACGTTTTGAATAAGTTAAACAGCGCCTACTGATAGATCGTTCAACTATCCAAATATAGCAATTCTGTTGGTATATCTTATTATACTTGTATATAGTGTACAATGTATATTGTGTACAACAAAGCTTGTCAATAGATATATTGCAAATCAATAGTTTCAGTTAGACATTACAATATATTTTCCTTAAACTAATGCTGGGCTACTTTTAGAGGGCTTTAGATTTGTTTGCATACAACCTTTTCACACAAACATATGTAACCTTAAATATCTGATACGTTTTGAATAAGTTAAACAGCACCTATTGATAGATAGTTCAATTATCCAAATATAGAAATTGTGTTGGTATATCTTATTATACTTGTATATAGTGTACAATATATATATTGTGTACAACAAAGT